AGAGAGAGAGAGAGAGAGAGAGAGAGAGAGAAAAGATATGCATTTTGTAAACAGGGTTGGGGGGCATCAGAGGTACAATCAGTCAAGACTTCATAATCTTTAAAATACACAAAATCACAGAAATAATGTATGTATCATTGTGAGATATTTGAGGATAAATTGAGATCAAGTATATCAAGTTCCTAAGCAGTGAGAGGAGCAGGCTTTGCATTCAGAAAACTTAATAATGAGTTCACTCATTCACTTGTTCACTATTGGACATGGGGGCTGTAACTCAACTGCTTTTGGCCCAGGGATCATGTTCCCTATTTATTCATAGGGGAAAAAAATAGAAATTATGGGTTGTTCACAGATTTTAAATGAAGAAGGAATTGGGAATAAAATATCTGACACATTTTAAATACATAATAAATCAATCATATCTATAGTTAATATAGCAGACTACTTGATATTATATATTTAATAAAAGGCAATTGTAGTGATTTATGATATTGAACACTGATATGTAGAATTATGCTAACATTAATAAATAATCATTAAAATGGTAAAATATTTTGTTTCTAAATGAAGAAATAAAAACCATACATGTTCTATCAGCAGTATATATGAAAATAGAGTTCTCTGTCTACTAACAATCCTTCTGTCTGTATATCTCTTTTATAATGATAGTATGGAAATAAATTAATATAGTTTGGAATTAATTTAATAAAATTAACACATTATTTTAAATATTTTCATGGTATGGCATATTTTCATTTTGGATATTTTGTCTTCAGAGGAAATAATTTGTTATTGAAAGAAAATGAAAATAAAAGAACTTTGCACACAAAAGTAATCATTATGGGATTGTATATAATATAAAAGAAAGAATACAAAATGATGATTGTATAAAATAGTGGTTGTATATAAGTAGGAGAATTGAATAATGGTGAAAAAAATGGATAAATAATTTATAGCTGTGAAGAGAATGTTCTTTAAAGATACTTACATAAAATATATTTAATCTGAAAACACATGATAGAAAATTATACAGACAATATCACAATAATGCAAAGCTAGTACACTGAAAATAGATTTTCATAACATTGTAAATGTCTAAGCAAACGAAAAAGTTAGGGATGGCAAAACATAAAACTTCACTGTTGTACTTTGACATTTGTATCATTTTCAAAATAATATGCAATTATTTTTTTTCTCTGCCTCTCTGATCCTACATGTAACTATCTATTTCTATGTGTATCTCAATCTATCTCTCCATCCTTCCTTTGATTTCCTCCCCACTTGCCTTTTATTCAGATCTTTTCCTATTTTCTATCTTCTCTTTCTTTCTTTCATTCTCCCCGCCATTCTTATGGATATAACTCATGTGTCTCTTTATATTAAGTATTACTATCTATGCAAGGATTATCTGTTTTCACTTGGCCAATAGGTCAATGCACAGTTTTGTGAAAATGTAAAGTGTAAGTTAGAAAAGTGCCTCTCTAAGCTCAACCTTCTTTATCAATTTGAACCTCATTTATTTTCTCGTGCAGAAAAAAAAAAATTCAGATGTAATTTTCCCTCACGCATGTATAATTAAACAATATTATTTCACTTGGGGAAGAACAGACAGAGATGTAATGGGGTATAGTGAATGATGGATTGGTTATAAAAAATAACTATTTTTGTCTTAAAAGAAACAAAGTTTTGTTAATTATTTGGGGAATTTTATAAAATGGTACAATTAAATGCTAGCACAGGCCTTCAAAACACTTTCATGATCTCAATTAGGTAAAAATTCAGCCTGATTAGTAAAGTACCCAGGTCTTGAAATTAAAGTAATAAAATATGCAGACTGATCAGGAAAGCATGTACAACTTCAGCTGCTTCAATATTCAGCTCACCTACTCAATTATGTAGGAGACCTAGGGAGGAGTACAGTTGCATTTATAAATTATGGACTGGGAAAAAATGAAATGGGCCTAGCCATGAACACATCTTTATTAAAGTGATTAAAAATACTCTCTCTCACACACACACACATTTTCAGCAACAACATGAAAAAAAATTAGTTTTCTTCTGATATTTGTCAATGAACTAACATCTGAAAAATGTTGGCTTATGACCACAAAGCAATTTAGGTAACAAAAAAACTATGTGGATGATACAAGTCCTGCTAATTACTTACTTATATGCATAAGAAAAACCAGGTGATCACAATGTTTGGTGGAGGGGTCTATAATACTGTGGTATTCCTGATAATTATCAGAATTCTCATTGTGATGGGGAGAGAATAGGCTCTGAAGTCACACATGAATGAATTTGAGTCCCATCCTGGTCTTCTACTATTTGGGATAATGTGGACATGCTGATGAACACTGAGGTTTCTAGTCATTAGCATTATTAAGTTTAAATTTTGATATTAGAGAAGATAAATCAATCAAAATGCAGACTACTATATTTCAGAAAGGGCAGTATTTTAATATGAAGAACATTTAAAAGAATTGATATCAAAAGAAATTATATTTAAAGAGGGGGGTTAATGGAAAGTCCATTAATATGTAGTTATTTGGATCTTTGTTTCATTTAAATTTGTCTATAATTGTCACATTGAAAATTTCACAGGACAGGACAGTACTTGATGGTGGAATGTTGATTGAAAATAGCAATTTAATCTCATTTATACTCTCACTTGTGAAATGAAGCTAATGCTGTATATATTGCCAAAGTGTTGACATCACAATGGTGTGAGATAATAGAAGTAACATGGCAATGTGAACAAAGTTAGGAGGTAGCTGTTTCCACCTTAGAATTCTGGTATTTGTACACACTTCAAAATA